GTACACATATTTATATCTAGTTGTATATACTATATAAACAAAATCAACATATATGAATTTTTAATAATATTTTGGATGTAACAAATGATTTAACTTGGCGCAGTCGTTATGCAATGCGTGTGGGATCAGATTCAAGAAAGAAGAGAGGCGTGCAGCTGCCAGAAACTCAATAACGTCCGGTGTTGGTTCATCGATGACAGAAGTTCCGGCAGAGCCGTACAACGGAGGTGGAAACTATTACACTCATCATCATCACTATGCTTCGTCGTCACCTTCGTGGGCTCATCAGAACACACAAAGAGTTCAGTACTTCTCGCCGCCGCAGGAGATGGAATATCCGTTCGTTGGCGACGTCTCAACTGCGTCTTTTCTGTCTTGGAACTGACGCCACGGAGACCAATGGCGTTCTCCACCATTTTGATGAGATGAAGAAGAAACGTTAACTATGGATGATGATGAAAGGTCTTGTCATAGATTCTCATCGAAAGTAAATCAGTCTTGGTCAAATTCATTATACAGTAGTTTCTTTTTATTTATTTATTTCATACCTCGACTCTATCAACTTGTGTTTTCTTTTCATGACTTTTTGAAAGTTAGATATATATACGTTCTGTTTTATGACCCTTTTCATGATGTTCCACTGAGAGCCAGGATTTGCATCCTGGAATATATTATATGTACTGAGCCTTGTCTTTCCATAAGAAATATCAATCGAAATCACAAATCTAAATTCTTCTTCTCTTTATAGTTCTTGACTTCTTGTACATAATAAAGCTCTTATGGGGTATTGATTTTCTATCATATTTCTAGATAGAGCTCTTTTGTGGATAACTCTTCTTTGTTTATTTTTTAAAATTCTTATGAATCGGCATACATAACTGGATACTAAGGAGCAACTCCAACCATAACATGGTTCTGAAATAATACCAAATTGGATATTTTGGTGTTAAGTTTTTTCATCTCCAATAATCACACTAAATCTTACACCAAAATAGTATTAAGTATTATTAAATTGTTAGTTTTAATAAGTTAATACTTCAGTTATTTGTAATTGACTAATTGTATTTATATTTATATTTATTTGTTAAAATTTGATCATTTTATAGTTTTACTATTTGTTTTAAAATATTATTTTATGTAAAATATTAGTTGAATTTAAAATTAATACATTTAAAATGGAATTACTTTATTTTGTTACAATCTAATATAATTGATAATGCTTACTTAGTTATATCATCAATTTAAATTATAAAGAAAATAATATTTAGTAATAGGAAATTAAAATGGAAAACACAAACATTATGATATATTTATTTTAACAATATCTTGAAACTAATTAATAATTTTAATTTATGTCTAATGAAATGAAAAATAGAGAAATATATTATTTTATTTTTAGTGTAATACATAGTAATTTACAAAATACCAAATTTGGTAAGATGTTGACAATTTTGATCTATAATTATTATTATTTTTACTTTTTGGTCTATAATTAAAGTACATCAAATTTGTAATTTTGATGTCTCACTGAGTTTGCCTATCTACTCGTATTCCTTAAAATCGTTGGTCGATGAGATACAAATCTATTGTACACCACATATACATACATGGCGAGATTCATGTATTCATTGAGAGGTAGACGAGCTCTCGTAAATTTTATATTCAATTAGCTGGACGCACGTCGAATACTTGGTAATTTTGCCATATCTAGTATTTATCTTAGCCAGCACTTATTTTATCCTAAACAAATATTATAAATATTAACTTGTATTTGTATTTGATTAATCGAGTACTTGTTAATCAAGTAATTACTTAATATTGAGATAATTAGAAATTATTTGGTTAAATTTGTTACTCGTTTATGTTCAAATTTTAAAAGTCAAATAAATCAACATTTTCAAATTTAGAAAAATACAAATATATTTATAGGAAACTCTATAAATTCTCTAATACTATAATCAACACAACAATTTTTGGAGTATAAAATTGTTTTCTAGTTTTATATAAATAATTGTTTGCTCAGATAATCATTAGCAAACCATTAATAAATTTTTAGTTTAATACTATAAAAAGAGTAATAAGTAATAGTAAGTCAAGTAATTAAAAAATAAGATTTGATATTTAGTTTATACTTGCAAATTTTTAATCTAATATTCTTGTACTTGCCTTGATCATTGCAAGTACCTAGTTTATGGATAAAATATCGAACAAATACCAAATAAAAATTGAGTATCAAATATTTGTACCCAACCGTATATTCAACCGAAAGAAAAATGGAATTTTCATGACTCATCAGTTCGCACCAACATCCATACCACCGGCAAAAAATAAGTGCACTAGTTAAGAATTTCATATAGATACTAGATCTCGACCCGCACAACCGTGCGGATATTTTAATACGAAAATATATAAAATTATATAATATTCTATCCGTTTCAAATTAGATGATGTTTTAAAAGATTTATTTTGTTTCGAAATATAAGATGTTTTGAAATTTTTAGGGATATCTTGAGGTTTTAATATTACTTTTAACTATATTGTAAATTGTTCAACCAATAAAATTTTACTTTTTTTAGTAATTGGTTGAATGATTTTAAAATTATCTTTAAAAATACTTTTGTAAAATAATATAAATTTTTTTTTTAATGATCCAAAACATCATATATTAAGAAACATATGGAGGAAAATTTATCAATAAATAATTATAATTTGTAGTCCATATACTATCCAGTTTTATAATAATATTTACGTGGCTTATAATATTATTAATATAAATTTTATAATAATATTTGTAACAATTTTAAAAGACATTATTATGTAACATTACTAATTTATATATTTTCTTTTATTTCTAAATTTAAAATATATGTAAAAAGTAAATTAAGTTGGACCTACATAATACATAAACAAAATTTTGGGATATTGTTAAAAGTAGTTCACATAATTTTAATTTTTTGTATATAAATAAAAAACAAATGAAAATTTTTAATTATATTTTATAATAATTAAAAATTTTAATCAAATAATTTTTGAAACTATATCTTGAAAATATATCTTGAAAAGATTCTAAAAGATTTTTAAAAGATTTGTTAGAATTTTTTTGAAACTATTTATTTGTATTTCAAATAAAAATTAAAGATATGAAAAGATATTATATTGATGTATGTAAAATTTTATAAAATTTCTAAGATAAACTAAAAATCACACATGAAGTGAGTCATGACTTCTCTTTTAATATAATAGACTAGATTTGGACCCGCGCAACCGCGCGGGTTTAGTTTTCATATATATATATATATATTTGTTTTATATCATTAATAACGTTAGTCATATGTTTAAATGTTTATATAACTATTACAAACACAATAGTTTTATAGTTTGTATGTCAATATCAATTGTTTTTATTATATATTTATCTAATTGGCTTTATATTTAATTATTAATATTAATATATGCATGAAAATTATATTTGAAAATTATTTTATATAAAATTTATACTAAATTATTATTTGAGTTTCAAAGTTAGATTATCGTTTATTAAACTTTTTATGTTTATAAAGATAATATAATATTATAAAAGTTTAAGATATTTTAATTTTATACATGTATTTATAGTTACTAATGTTAATCCTTTCTGCCAATATATTATATATTTTTAACATTAATATTTTCTATTTATGAAAATAAAACTGATTAATTTATGAATTTAATATAATTTTATAACATTCACTTTATTATAATAATTTCATTTAATTTGATAGTTTATGATTATTAAATAGATAAAAAGAATAAAATCTGTTTTCATATATATATATATATTAATGTATAATTATTTTCATTACTAATTAGAAATTTTATTCAAGTTATTAATTAGTGAAATATTTATATAATGTTTTTAAAGTTAAGATCTTGCTAAAATCTTTTCTAACAGATTTTTTAAAAAGAATTAGTACATATTTATATTAAAATAAAAAGATATCAAAGATATTATGATTGAAGTGGTTACAAAGAAATGAAATTTTTTTCTTGATTTTTTTTTTGCTGATGGTCCAAATAAAAAAAAAATCACACATGAAATGAGTCATGACTTCTCTTTTAATATAATAGATTAAAAAGATATGTTTTTCAACTAATTATACTTTTTCTAGTTATATTATTAAAACTGATAGTAACTGGTTGAGATTATTATGGTTTACATTGAAATTACTTTTTAAATTATTCAATATTAAATGTGTAGATTCAGTTTAAATATATTAAAAATAAGAAAATATACTTTTAGGTCTTATGTATAGTAAATGTTTTTCAAACATAATAATATTTACGATATGTAGTAAATGTTTTTCAAACATAATAATATTATATAATAAGTGTTTTAATCAAATAGTTTGTTTCAAATTTTCTATATTATACATGTTTTTCAAACATGTGTTTGTTTCTTCTTCTATATTTTATTATTTGTTAGATTATTATTTCATTTTTAGATAAAGTAATATAAATAGAGCTTGATTAAATATTTGTATACTTTAATTTGTAAAGATAATATAAAATTTGAAGAATTTTTTGCTAAAAACTAAACTTTTAGCTTCATAAAGTAATATTATAAAGAATTTTATTAAAAAGAAATTTTTAAACAATTTATTTTTTTTAAACAATATAATTTTAAAAATTTACATCAAAATAAATTTATCTAATATATATATCGTGTAAATTTTGTTAGGGTATATAAATATTCCATATTACTAATCTGTGATTTTTTTTAATATATTGTGGATGCATTTAACTATTATTGACATATTTGCTTATAAATAATAGAAGATTTCTAAACTTATATCTATTCACATATTTTGCGTGACTAAGTTGGAAGGTGTGGGGTAGTTTACCAAAACCAAATTGTTAAACGTATCTTTGTTATTATAGATATGATTTTTCATAAGATATAATAATGATAAGATTATTAGAGAGTTAATGTAACATAACTTTCTATTAATAGTCTATTTTTTAAAAAATCACACATGAAGTTAAGTTATGACTTCTGTTTTAATATATAAGATAGTTTAATTATACATGCGTATGCATACATAACGAAATTAAATGAACCTTACAATGGGCCTAGAGTGCTACACAAACAATATAATACGCGGCCTTTATTGATGTAAATTTCAAACTTAAGAATGATAGACGGAACAATGCTCGATTTGATAATATCTCAACCAACCCTGCAAGTAAACAATTCCAATAGTCAAGTTAAGTACGTTATATTCCAGCCTATAAATTATAGAATTTAATTTAAACAGAATAATTCGACACTATCACATAACTACTAAAAATATTTAGTATACTACTATAACTTTTTTTATTAAATAACTATACTTATACAGCAATTTCACATAATTACCAAAAAATAATCATCGTTTCCTATTATTGTTTAAAAAAATAATAATAGGTGAATCAAGAAATCAGCGATAACAATAAATTAATAAACTTGAGATATTTGGTAATTACTTTCTGAAAATAGTATTATCTTAACACTTTTAAGCATGTTAACGTTTTATTTTTGTCACAAACATGGTACGTTTATAAAGTTAAAATGAAATAGTACTAAACAATAAATTCAGTCAAGAGCATATCAAACGTACGTATTGCAGTCGACAGTAGAAGATGGGTCAACAGGCAAGCTCGCGTTACAATTGGTGGCGAGGGATTTAGCCAATTCAGGCTTCACGGTGACAGTGTTAGCCACTGACTTGATGCATTGACAAGCCGCCTTTTTGTCGGCCGATGCAGTGGTCTCCCTATCTAATCTCTTAACTCCGTCGCAACATGTCTTTGGAGGTTGTCCACTTCCGTTGATCAAGTAGCTAACACATGGCTGCAAATCATTTAAAACAACACTGCAAGATATCGCAGATTCGGAACAACGAGGTGTTAAGCATATTCCGAGAACAGAGATGATCACTAGACTTTTCAGTACACTCATTGTAGAAAGAAATAATAAAATCGTATGGTTTTAGTGAGGTTCTTCCCTTTTTTTTTGCGATGTAAAGTGAAGACGTAGTAGGGCTATATATAAGCTGAACTGAGAAATTGTTTTTCCAAAATTTTATTTAAAATAGAGAACTATTAGATGTTGGTATAGATTACGATGGAGTGAAAGAAACTTCTAATGTACATGTAAATTTCAATATTTTGGTATGACTTTTCATTTAAATATATATTACTTAGGTTCAGGTAGTTGGGTTTGAATAAGTCTTGTCATTTTGGGTTTGCGATTATTGATTTATAATCATTTTGGTACCATTTGTAACTACAACACTCAAAGATGACGTGTTTACTAAACTACTGGATATTTGGAGCCTTGGAGGTTATATAGGTCACGTAGTCTAAAGAAGGGTTCATTAATCACAGAGTAATTAAACTATACAAGTAATATTCATTTTGCTAATCGTGTCTAGTTACGTAGCTCAATGAGTCAATCGACAATATATTAACCGTGGGAGGTATGGTCTGTTGGAATGAAAAAATTTATAGGGATGGAGAAAGTATTATATGTGTTTGAAGAGAGAAATTTTATGAAGAAGAAAATCTTGTATAATTTAGAAGAGTAATTCTTATTACTTAGATGATTCTTACATATTTGGATAATTTCTTGCTGATACAAAATAAGAAGGGAGTGGAGGTATTTATAGCCTCCATAACATAAAATATCTTACATATTTTAATACTAAATCTAGAGAATTCTAGCATAATATCTAGATTATTTTATTTTAATTTATCCTAATTATCTAGATAATTCTATAAGAATATCTAGATTTTTATTCTAAGGAGGTGGAAGACTTCTCTAGAATTTGGGCTAAGTTTGGACCAAAAAATGATTAGTGAATTGTTAGCCCAATAATACTTAACCCAAATCAAGTTTACTTTTCAACACCCCCTCTTAAACTTGATTTGATTACTCCGAGTAAGTTCCTCATCTTGATAAAGTCTTCTCGCTTGAGTGGCTTGGTGAAGATATCAACTACTTGATTATTTGTCTTCACATACTCCAATTGCACATCCATCTTGGTAACACATTCTCTAATGTAGTGATAACGAGTATCAATGTGCTTACTCCGATCATGGAAGACTGGATTCTTTGCCAATGTTATTGCCGAGTTGTTATCCACAAAGATCTTCGTTGGCTCCTCTTGCGGTAGGCTCAACTCCTTCAGCAAGTTGCGTAACCAAATAGCATGGCAAACACATGAAATAGCTGCTACATACTCCGCTTCACAAGTTGAAAGAGTAACAATAGGTTGCTTTTTTGATATCCATGTGAAAGCGGTTTCTCCAATGAAAAACACAAAGCCACTTGTGCTTTTTCGGTTATCTACGTCTCCACCCCAATCGCTATCGCCATATCCAACAAGCTTGTAATCATCAGAAATAGAGTAGTACAAGCCAAAGTTAATTGTACCTTTGATATAGCGTAGGATCCTTTTTGATGCCTTGAAATGAGTTGTTGTTGGATGCTCCATGTATCGACTCACAACTTTAACTGCATGAAGGATGTCGGGCCTTGTGCAAGTTAGATAACGTAGACTTCCAACTAGGCTCTTAAATAGTGTTGGATCAACACTCTCTCCTTATTCTTCCTTTGACAACTTGACTCCACATTCCATTGGCGTGCAAACTGGATTTGAGTCATCCATCTTGAACTTCTTAAGCACTTCTTTAGCATAACCTTCTTGAGTAATGAAGATTCCATTTTCTTCTTGCCTCACTTCGATGCCAAGTTAATATGACATCAATCCAATGTCAGTCATCTCGAACTCCTTTGTCATCTCCGTCTTGAAATCTTCAAACATAATCGGATTGTTGCCGGTAAATATCAAGTAATCCACATACAAGCATGTAATCAATATATCATTATTTTGAGTTTTGATATAAAGTACATGCTTATATGGACACTTGACGAAACTCTTCTCCTTGAAATACTTATCAATCCGAGTGTTCCATGCTCTAGGTGCTTGCTTCAAACCATAAAGTGCCTTCTTCAGCCTCAAGACTTTGTCTTCTTCTCCTTTGATTATGTAACCTTGTGGTTTCTCAATGTAGACTTCTTCCTCAAGGTCTCCATTTAAGAAGGCTGATTTTACATCCATTTGATGTATCTTCCAACTCTTTTAGGCTGCCAATGAAATGATTAGTCTAACCGTTTCTAAGCGAGCAACATGAGCAAATACCTCATCATAGTCGATCCCAGCTCTTTGACTATAGCCTTTCGCCACCAATCTTGCCTTGTACCTTTCAACTTCACCTTTAGAATTCTTCTTGGCTTTGTACACCCACTTTACACCGATTGCTGTTTGCCCACTTGGAAGTGAAGCTAACTCCCATGTATTATTCTTTTGAATCGACTTGATTTCTTCATCCATTGCATTTCTCTATGACTTCTTTTCTTGAGTTTCTTCAAAGTTCATAGGCTCGCAATCCGCAAAGAGACAAAATAGAGTAAGATTGTCTTGATTATCAGTTACCTCGTAGATGTCTTGTAGACTTCTAAAACATGGAGTCCTTTCACTTGAGCTTTCATCTCCTTAAGAACTTGGTGTTGGTGAAGTTGGTGGTGTAGCTGGCTCTTCTCTTGGTATCTCCACACTCTCTTCTTCAAAAGACGGAAAGAAGTTGTAGTCTTCATTATTTGATTTTGAATCTCATTGTCCTTCTTCATCAAAGATGACATTCCGACTAATGATTGTCTTCTTTGTTTTAGGATTGTAGAGCTTGTAGCCTTTGGAGTTAGTGTCATACCCAATGAAGATGTACTTCTCACTTTTATCATCTAGTTTGCTCCGCTTCTCGTCTGGAACATGAGCGTGAGCAATGCTTCCAATGTCTCTTAGGTGTGAGACTCCGGGCTTCCTTCGGCTCCAAGCTTCTTGTGGTGTCTTTTCTAAAACACTCTTTATTGGAGATCGGTTTGATATATAAACCGCACACGCCACTGCTTCTGCCCAAAACTCTTTTGGTAACTTCTTACTCTTGAGCATGCTTCTTGCCATCTCAAGAATAGTCTTATTCTTCCTTTCCGCTACTCCATTTTGTTGAGGGGTTCTTGGCACCGTCAATTGTCTTCGGATGCCATTATCTTCACAATACTTCAGAAACTCCTTGGACATGAACTTTCCTCCTCGATCAGATCTCATGGACTTGATCTTTAGACCACTTTCCTTCTCAACATGGGCTTTAAACTTTTGAAATTTTGAAACACTTCCGATTTTTCTTTCAAAAAGTAAACCCATGTTTTTCTTGAAAAGTCATCAATAAAGAGAAGGAAATAGTTACTCTTACCAAGTGAACTTGGTTTGATCGGGCCACATACATCTGTATGTATGAGTTCTAGTGGCTTTCTTGCTCTCGTCTCTGACTCCTTTGGAAAACTCATCTTGAATTGCTTTCCAAGTAAACACCATTTACAGACTTGATTTGGATGGTTGATGCAAGGTAGTCCTTTCACCATCTCTTTCTTGGAAAGTAGCTCTAAGCCTCCAAAGTTGAGATGCCCAAATCAAAGATGCCAAAACCAAGACTCGTCCTTATAGCACATCTTGAGACACCTTGCGATGTCATTTTGAATGTTTAGGACAAACATTCTATTGCTTGACATTGGCACCTTTGTGATGAGATTATTTGCATTATCTCTTAAAGAAAGGCTATTATCCTTTAGTCGAATGTCATAACCTTTCTCTAAGAGTTGTCCTAGGTTCAAAATGTTGGTCTTCATGCTTGGAATGTAATAAACATTAGAAATGAATTGATGATCTCCATTCTTCAAGCGGATGAGAATATTTCCTTTACCTTTCACCTCCATCTTTGCTTCATCTCCCAAAGCCACATTGGTTTTCACCGATTCATCAAGCTCCACAAACATGCTTTTATTCCCACACATGTGGTTACTTGCACCACTATCAAGGTACCACTTTTGAACCTCATTTTGTTCATCCTTCTTGCCATCAATAGCATATCTTCTTCTCTACTCCTTTCTTCAACATAGTTTGATTTTTCTTCAACTCTATTATATTGTTTGGAGCTTTGCATTCAGAGGCATAATGTCCAAACTTTTCACAACTATAGCATTTAATTCTTGATTTATCGTACCTTGATTTTGAATTTCCTCTTCCACGACCTCTTGTTGAGCTTTCCCCTCTTTGGTTGAAGTTGTCTTCATATGGTCTCCAACCTCGTGCACTTACACCACGACCTCGTGCACTTACACCACGACCTCGTCCTTGGAAATGACCACCACCACGTCTTGGATTACTCCGGCCACTTTCTTCCTTGTGATCAATTCTCATTTTGAGAACTTGCTAAAAAATATATTCTTTTTTCTTCCTCTTTTCTTCATAAGCTTGTAATGATCCAAGAAGTTGCTCCATCGTCATAGTCTCCAAATCTTTGATCTCTTCAATCACTGTAACAATATGCTCGAATTTTGAATCCAATGATCGAAGAACTTTCTCCATGATTCTCACCTCATCTAACTTCTCACCATTTCTCTTTAGGTTATTAATAACCGTCAAGACTCTTGAGAAGTAATCTGAGATGAGTTCTCCTTCCTTCATTTGTAGTGCTTCAAATTCTTCTCTTAGAGTTTGAAGACGTACCTTCTTAACTTGTTCTGCTCCCTTGTAAGAGGTCTGAAGCTTCTCCTATGCTTCTTTGGATGTCTTTGCTCCAGAAACCTTCTCAAATGTATCTCCCTCTAATCCTTGATAGATTAGACAGAGAGATTTCTTGTCTCTCTTCCTTGAATCTCTCAAACCATCCCTTTGAGTTTGAGATAAACCCTCATCATTCTCCGGTTCAATGAAGCCGTTCTCTACTATCTCCCACACATCATGTGCTCCTAAGATAGCCATCATCCTAAGGCTCCAATTGTCATAGTTGCTCTTTGTGAGCAATGGAATTTGCAAGGGAACACCACTAGTTGCCATCCTTAGCTCTGATACCACTTTGTTGGAATGAAAAACTTTATAGATATGGAGAAAGTGTTTTATGTGTTTGAAGAGAAATAAACTTTATGAAGAAGAAAGTCTTTTATAACTTAGAAGAGGAATTCTTATTACTTAGATGATTCTTACAAACTTGGCTAATTTCTTGATGATACAAAATGAGAAGGGAGTGGAGGTATTTATAGCCTCCATAACACAAAATATCTTACATATTTTAATACTAAATCTAGAGAATTCTAGCATAATATCTAAATTATTTTATTCTAATTTATCCTAATTTCTAGATAATTCTATAAGAATATCTAGATTTTTATTTTAAGGAGGTGGAAGACTTCTTTAGAATTTGGGCTAAGTTTGGACCAAAAAATGATTAGTGAATTATTAGCGCAATAATACTTAACCTAAATCAAGTTAACTTTTCAACATGGTCGTGGCCCACGTGAGATTTCTTTGTAACAGTGTAGAGAAGATATTTATCAAAGAAACAGAAGTAGGAATTGCAGATCTCCAATTCTAGGGCTTCACATTTTATCCGTAAATTTTGATTTGTTTCATTGTATATTTTCATTTGATCCAAAATTTTTGAATATCCATAAATTTTTGAAAAAATACAAATATTAAAAATCAATATCCTTTAAAAAGAATTAACTCACAAATACTCAATTTAGAGTCAGATATCTAATACTTTCCGAGTTTTATACAAATAGATGTATATATACAATTAAATAAATAATTTATTAATTAATTTATAAATTACTTATAAAACTATTAAATATAGAAATGAAGATAAAATCTTTATAAAAACTATCATTTTCTAAAATTTTATGTTTCTTAAAAAACACTAATTTAAAAATTTATGAAACAAATCTTTTTTCTTATTATGTTAAATATACTTTTTGAAAACAACTTATACTCCCTCTGTTTTTAAGTATAAGATTTTTAGGTAAAAACATATTAAGAAAATTACTTTTTATCTAGAAAGTATCAATAAAACTATAAATTAATAATATTCAACCAATTACAAAATAGATTGTTAAATATGATCGGTTACACAATATTTAATATAGTAAAAATTACCTTAAAAAAATATCTTATATATTGGAACATCAATTTTTTTTAAAGCATCCTATATTTAGGAACGGAGGAAATATGGTTTTTCTAAATTTTATTGTATTGAACAAAGTAATGAGATATCTGTAGATATTCGTAATTATCTGAAAATTTTCCAAATATCTAAAAAATCAGATATCTATAATTTTCTGAAACAACACAAATAAAAAATTAGACATTCTTAAAATATAAAGCAAATCTCAAATATACTAAAATTATGGTAGTATTTGATCCTTGCTACCCCTATCCAACTCTGATTATACGTTTATAGAGATTTCAAGCAAGGCAAGAAAGAACTATTTCCAGAAGAACCCATTTAATCGTTTGAAGAAAAACATTATTATCAATTATAATAGTTTTAATCAATACATCACGAAATGCGTAGCAAAATGACAATACTTCTAAACAAGAAAAAAACTTATAACCCAAAAAGAACCAAATAAAACCGGGCTTTGTTTTTTCAGTGAAATTTAAGAATAACTAAATCTGCATATGTATTATGCTATTTTGCAAGTTATCAATCAAAACAAGTCTGCCAAGATAAATTTAAAATCTAAAACTAGAAATGGTTGGATTATATAAATAAGACCAAACCACACCAAATACATTATAATTAATTGAAAAATATTCACCTTTACATTTACTTATTGCATATTCATACATCTCTCTCCCTCCAGAAGAACACACAAACAAAAAAAGAAACACAATGGTGAACTTGATAGAGTCACAAAAACCATTGTTGCACGGTCTCATGAAATTAGCCGGTGTTGTTCCGTACACCTTAGATATAGAACCAGGAACGAAGATGAACTTCTGGATCCCCAAAGAAACCCTCAAGAAAACAAAAAAAAATCCGACAAAAACTCTAATGTGGAACTCAAGAAACCTACCAAACCAGCCATTTTGTTCATCCACGGCTTTGCAGCCGAAGGGATCATGACGTGGCAGTTCCAGGTCGGATCACTAGCCAAGAAGTACTCAGTCTATATACCAGATCTCCTCTTCTTCGGTGGGTAATACTCAGATAAACCGGACAGGTCACCGGCGTTTCAAGCCCACTGTTTGGTTAAGTCTCTTCGTCTCCGGCGTCGATGATTTTTTCCTTGTAGGGTTTAGTTACGGTGGCATGGTGGCTTTCAAGATCGTGGAAGAGTATCCTGAGATGGTTAGAGCCATGGTGGTGTCAGGTATCATTTGCGTAATTTATTTGAAAATCTATTGTATATATACACAGTATCTCATTCTTAATTTAAACCATATATATATACACACAATAGTAATTATTTCTATGCCAGGTTCGATACTTGCGATGACTGATACGCTCAGTGAGTCAAATTTGAACCGGATAGGGTTTAAGTCGTCAGCGGATCTCTTGTTACCAACTTCGGTTAAGGGACTCAAGACTCTCTTTGCTCTTGCTGTTCATAAACCCATGTGGTTCCCAAACCGGCTCTTTACGGATTACCTAAAGGTACGCACCCAAAGTAGCAAGATCATTAGTTTCAGCGACAAAGATATTATGTTTTATTAGTTTTATAGAATTATCTATCATAATCACATTAGACTTCGGTCTGTGCAACAGCCTGAGAGTAAGATATTTAATAAAACACAAGATACGATACTATACTAGTAGCTAGTTTGAGTAGTTCATTTTGCTCTAGTAACTTACCTATAATTTGAAAAAGAATGATACAAGAAAGACAAATTAGTTTATCAAAACGTATATAAATGAAATGTTGATTATAAAAGAAAAAAATAAATAGGATATGTTAGGATTTTTTGTTCAAACTAAATAAAGACAAATTTGTATTATAATTTTTTCACCGGCATCTCTAATCATTAGTCTTCTGGGTGTAAATGTTAAATCTCTAATCATTAGTTCATAATCAATTTGATCTGAATCTGTTTGATCATTTTATATAGAAAAACAAATATACATTCAAATTTAGTTAATAATTTTATTGTAAAATGTGAAGGTGATGATTACCAACAGGAATGAGAGAGCAGAATTGTTAGAAGGTTTAGTCATCAGCAACAAAGATGTAACCATCCCTCGTTTTCAAAAGGTCGTGTAGACATGATTATCCGTTCAATACACTTGTTTTTTAACTTATAGAAATCTATACATGAATAATTTTTAGTGTCTGATAAGTAATATGGATTATTGAGCGTGATTGGTTGGGTTGTAGATAATGACTTTAGCTTTAATTTCAATCTACAACCATTTAAATCACCAATCATACTTTAAGCAGTTTTTAAAGCTAAAGTCAAAAAAAATGGAAAATTGATTGTAGGAACCTTATTTTCTAAAGCAAAAAATTATTGTTGTAGGATTGTTGTAGGAATATCTTTCCTTTTATATTTTTTTCATTTAATTTCTACAGCTACATTAGATACAACTACATCAAAAACATCTACAGTCTAAATTCTAGAGTAAAATTTTTAAATCTATAGTTCAACCAATCACCCCCATTATGTACGTAGAAATAGTAAATATTCAAACTACCACAAAATTTAGATAAGAAAGATTACTAAAAACATTTGACAGAAAAAGAGATACTAAAACATTTGACCAGAAAAATAGATATAACTATTTTTCTTGGAAAAGGGTTTCTACATGATTTAGAGCATCTCCAATATATAATTCAATTTTTTTTTCAAAATGAAGTAAAAGAGAATATGGAATAAAAATGCTTAAATCCACTATATTTCTTACTTCATAATGGAGTGATGAACAAAAAAAAAATAGATTACTTCATTTATGGAGTAAACTTTACTATGTAGTGAAAAATGAAGTAGGGTTGATGAGTTGGAGATGTCTAGAGTCTTCCTAGATTTGTAGTAATGCTCCCAATAAATCATAAGGTTGTGGTCTGTGTTTTCACACCCGACCCGGATATGCGGTCGACCCAGATCTGCGGCCACACCGCTAAACTTGGTGACCCGATAAGTAATCCGGTTTGGGTTTTAAGAAATATCCACTAATTAAAAACTCAATAAAATCCGCTAAAAACCCTTAAACCCGGTGATATGGCTATCGGTTAAACCATTGGGTGAACCAATGAGTTATTTTTATTTAGTTTTTCTTAGGTTTTAAACTATTTTATTAAATATTTTTTGTGTACCCAAAATAAGAAGTTAGATTTGTACTTTTTAATTTTTAGTTTTCTCATAAAATTATTGTTTTCCGTGCTATCGCATATATTCTGTGTCTCTTTTAATTTTCTCTTAAAACTTTTGTTGATTTTGTATGTCGTAAATAACATTCAACTTTTTGATTTTAATTTCTATGTTCTAAATTTTATCATATAAACTTCATTTTTATTCTAAACACATGTTTTTACTTTATTTTATTAATTTTACATGTTATTAAATAAATAGTGTTTTGTTAATCAAATTTATTGATCTTATTTAACTTTTACAAATCATATATAACATTGACTAAACCATTTATTGATTTTGATGAACATTGCATTATGCCTCTTAAAGAAAATATATTGAATAATGATAAATATCTAAAACTTGTGAGATTTAATTTTTGTTATGATTTACTATATGTCTAAACTCCTAATTTACTATAAAAAAATTATTAAACAGTCTAATCTAAATTTAAATATTCTATATGTGAAATACAACAAAATTAAAGAAAGCAAATTTACATATTTTCTATGTTTTTAAGAAATGTGAAATTTCTCCATTACTTTTAATAGTTAATATATAATTATTTATTTAAATTAATTAATATATTAATTTTTGTTTCACCCGTGGTTGACCCAGTAATCCGATAATCCGACAAGGTGTTCGGTTCAGTGTTCGAGTCGGATTTAAAAATATTATTTCTAAATTTTATCATATAAAATTCTAATCACGTGTTTTTGTTTTATTTTATTAATTTTACATGTTATTAAATAAAAAGTGTTTTGTTAATCAAATTAATTGATCTTATTTAATTTTGAAAAATTATATATAATATTGACTAAACCATTTATTGATTTTGATGAACATTGCATTATGCCTCTGAAAGAAAACATATTGAATAATGATAAATATCTAAAACTTGTGAGATTTAATTGTTGTTATGATTTACTATACGAGACAACTGCTAATTTTTTTATAAAAAATATTAAACAGTCTAATATAATTTTAAATATTTTATATGTGAAATAAAACAAAAATAAAGAAAGCAAATTTATATATTTTCTATGTTTTTAAGAAATGTGAAATTTATCCTATAGTTTAAATAGTTAATATATAATTATTTATTTAAATCAGTTAATGTATTGATCCATGGTTCATTTGTGGTTGATCCAGTAACTGGGTGACCTGACAATGTGTCTGATACAGTGTCTGGGTCAGGTTTAAAAATATTGGTTGTGGTACTTTTGGAATGTAAAAATATGGCTGTAGCTGTTTTTTTAACAAAAAATATGGCATTCGTGAGGTTGTCATTTAGTTTTAATTTAGTTTGCAATAAATTGGATATAAGATCAATTGGAGATATAGATTATCTCATGTAATCATTTATATGAAGTTTTTTCTTTGTTTTTGTTGATTGATATAATTTTACATTGCAACAAAATAAATCGGATATAAGAGGTGAACGAATGAAATAAGTACCAATTACAATAAAAATAACATTATTTTCCAACATTTAATAAAATAATATTACATAGAATTAATTGCTTGTGGTTAAACTTTATCACATGTTTCCCTGAAATCTAAGGTTGGCGTAAAGCATTATATTATTTAACTTTTTTTACTAAAAGTAGTACTGTTTTGTTTCCTTTCTCAAATTTCGTAATTTAAACGACTTCAATAAAAACATTAGATATATACCACTTAACAAAGCGATATTAATTTTTGAGAGTTATGGTTATGCAGAAGATTCATGTTTTGTGGGGTGAAAGTGATCAAATTTTTAATCTTGAAATGGCCAAGAACATGAAAGAGTAAGTTTCATGCAATAAGTTTTATTAAGTAATATTATTACTATATCGTATATACTTCTATTCAATTCTGTGTTACAGGCAACTAGGCGAAAATGCAACAATGGATATTATTAAAAAGGCAGGTCACTTGGCACATTTGGAGAGACCTTGTGTCTATAACAGACGTCTCAAAAAGTTTCTTACTTCAGTTTACTCCGAAAACTAGATTTAATTTAACGCATATATGATCCTCGACGTCAACACCAAATAAACCGCTTTCAAAAACAAAGAAGACCAAATAAACCCATTTGTCCTTTTTTCTGTGTGTAATCTTATATATTTGTTGAAACAGTACATTTAATCATATATGTTTTCTATGATTTTGCAATTTCTGTTACTATGCAGACGTTTTTGATTTTTCTATGAGTGAAGAGAGTGAGAGGCCTTTTATCAATTGGGTCTATTTCAGTGATGGCCTAGTTACACATATGGGCCAGAGTAGTTTTTTCAGTTTTTTTTTTCCTATGGTCCCTATCGAATTCTTTCACTTGCATCAAGCAGCAAATTATATAAAAACAATTTTGAATAAACCTAATTAACTTCATTGATCAACCTGCATGTAGCAATAGTTATTATCTAGGTTTAGTCACATCAATGATTCATACGACATACTTCCTCAAAATAATACTTGTTTTAAACTTTTCACACTTATTAAAAGAATATTAAAACTTGGTTATTAATATATAAGAGATTTTTTTTAATTTTATATTTTCCATATTTTAAACTAATAAGATTTCAAGAAATACAATTAATGTTTGTGAAATTTACATTTTTTCATTATTAGTTGATAAAAAATGCAATAAAAATCTAAAAAATATATCTTTTTGAAACACAATTTTTTTAGAATATGCATATTTTTGAAACAGAGAAAATATATACATAAATGAATATGCAGAGCCAATAATGAAAGGTAGTTTACCTATACATAAAACACTGATTGTAGTATTAAATAAACATAATTATAAACAAATCGTATATAGTAATAAACTAATGTATGAATATTTAAATATTTCCCCTTATCTAATTACTCGGAAATTGATCCATAACAAGTTGTCATTGCCGACAAGTTTAATAAGAAAAAGGTTAGAAAGAGATTCTAAGCCATTAACATTAACAATTCATCTTAATACAGAAAATATTCTGCTGCCAGATTTCTTCCAACTGTTAATCTTGATGCATTACCCCTGGTCGTCTGTTTATTATGTTTATGTTTTTAACGTCGATTAACTTATGTTCTTAACTATATTAAACTATGTTTTATATATTATATGTTATTTATTATTATTATTCAAACGGAGTTTTGTTCACTCCAGTATGAAAACCAGAGGAGTTTTCTGAATTTGAGCCCAACAAAAAGAAGAGGAGATGATTTGGTTGAGCTTGCCAGCTTAGTGTATTATTCTGTACATTTCCTATGTTCTTATCAATGAAAACTTTTAGTGAGTAAAAAAGCAATAACAATAAAAATTAGGAAAAATGTTAGCCAGCTACACGAAGTATCACCCATCACATGGCTAACCATGCCAAGTTTAATAATATATGGCCAGCTACACTAAGTATATGTTATGCATGCCAACATTTCCGAACTATATGATGTTATGTAATCAACATCATTAGATTAATTAAAGTCGAGCATGAGTGACATGTGGACACCCCGACCATAAACGTTGTTAACTCTCTGTTAAGTCTCTGGTTTAACTCTTAGGTTTAAGCAAATTTAATCCAGAATGGAAACCAGACAATAGGACCAGACCAAATAAAATAGGGGAATTATTTCTAATTCGGCCCAAATGCAATCCTATCTCTTCCCCCTTCTTTTTCATCGTGAAACGCAGACAGAAAATTTAGGGTTTTAAATTTTCACAAATCAGTGGGAGAAAGAAAGTTGGTGTTTGCTTCATATGTTAACAAATCGAGAAAGAAGAATAGAGCAACTCTGAATTCTCACAACCATCTTTTTCAATATATATGTGCACCTCCTTATACCATCGACCTGCTGTTTCCAATCTCTTCTTATTTATCTCTATATTTTCCCACAGAGCCTTAATATCTTCAATGTTTTCATATGGGAGCTTGAATCACAGTTTCCCAAAGACGATCTTTCTCTCAGACATTTTTGACACCAAAGAAGCCTGAGAAATCAGAGTTGCTCTACTCTTCTTTCTCGATTTGTTAAAATATGAAGCAACACTAACTTCCTTTCTCCCACTAATTTGTGAAAATTTAAAACCCTAAATTTTCTGTATGTGTTAGAAGGGGAGGGATATGATTGCATTTGGGACGAATTAAAAATAATGGCCAATTTTATTTGGTCTGGTCCTATTCTCTGGTTTCCATTCTGGTTTAAATTTTCCTAAGCCGAAGAGTTAAACCAAAGAGTTAAACTAGAGAGTTAACAACATTTATGGTCGGGCGTCCACGTGTCACTCACGCTCGACTTTAACTAAGCTAATGATGTTGATACATAACATCATATAGTTCAGGGATGTTGCCATGCATAACATATACTTGGTGTAGCTGGCCATACATTATTAAACTTGGCATGGTTAGCCATGTGATGGGTGATACTTCGTGTAGCTAGCTAACATTTTTTCTAAAAATTACTAAGAAAACCTTTTTCAGTTTTTTTTTCCTATGGTCCCTATCGGATTCTTTCACTTGCATCAAGCAGCAAATTATTAACTTCCTCGAGAAATAACGAAACCCTTCAATATGAACATTTCTACACAATATGTAAATGCATTATGTTGGTACTTAAGCATATGACATTTGCTTTCACTGCGAATGTTGTGAAGTTAAATTAAAATTCTTGATTCTCCAGTTTTGTATTCAACATAGATTATTCGGAATGTCCTTTCATCTTTTTGTAAACCCTCAATTGTGTTAATCAATTTATGATTTTAGTTATTACTTTATGAACAAATATATAGATTATTAATCCAATTTAAATATATGAGTCTGTTTTGTGTTTAAAAAAAAATGAGTCTGTTTATTTTCGATGTCAAAAAAAAAAAAAAATTCACTGCACCAGATTGATACTACCCAATAATACAATTTTGTTCTTCCCTCTCAAGCTTTAGAATATTAGTATTTTTATATATTTTCAAACAAATTTGATTTAGATTTTCCCGAACGTGTGGCCGCGAAGAAGAGCATATGGACATGTCCCACATGAGCATTCATATACTTGTATCTAGAATGACAATTCAACAGATTATAATCATTCGACTCATTTAATACTACAGTAATCATCTAATCATTATTTACCTATACAATCTTTTGCTTCTCCCTCAAGATCCAGTAATCCTTTGCCTCCATTTCAGAGAAATCAGCATTGATTAATTTTTTTTTTTAACTCAATATTCGATATCTTAGAATAAAACCAAAAATAAGATGATATCTAAATCTCGAATTGCTCAATTTCAGAGAAATCATCATTGACTAATTTTTAACTCAATATTCAATATCTTAGAATAAAACCAAAAATAAGATGATATCAAAATTTCGAATGAATAAAACGGATCAAGTATTTCAGATCTATTAAATTTAGCGGATAAAAAAATAATAGAAAATCAGGTTCTAGCGATATAATTTAACAGTCCAAAACATATGTTTGAGTAACAAAAATATATAAAATGGTATACGATATTGTACAATTTATGTTTTACAGATATAGTATATAATGCTATATTCCCACATAATATATAAAATATACTTAAATACAAAATTTAAGATAAAATAGAAAATATTTTTATTGGTATATCTTTTAATATCTTTTAAATGTTTGTCTTCAAACTAATCTGATGTTATGATGCCAATGCATATAATTATACATCAAGAATATTGTAAATTAAATATTATAGATAAAATATAATATAATAAATGAATACATAAATAGTTTATATATTAAAAATAGATTATCTGTTATATGTAAGTAGGAAACAATACAAACTCATAAAAAACAAGTTGGTCAACTATATTATCAAAACACATTAAATTATAAGCCTATGTGTTATTTTCTAAAAGATAAATTAAATAATATAAAGCACATATAAAAACATTCCAAAATTGCTATATGATATTCCTTGTGTTTTATTTTAACTGTCATTTTAAATCTATGCATACATATAAAGAAAATATTTAATTTTTCATTTTAATATATAAAAATATCATTACCATACCCATAACCATATTTCAATTAATAGAAAAAAATAAACTGAAGAAAAAAATTTAATAAATTTTATATTGAAGTGCTAAAACAATACTTATTTTGTAACGGAAATTTTTTGTCTACAAGGACACTTAATATGAAAATAGTATTATTGGTAATGATTCTTAATTTTGTTTTTCTACATAATAGAACTAGTAATGGTTTAAAAATAGTTTATTATATTTAAAAAGCAGCCTGTTCATTACTCTCTCTCTCTATTTCAAAATAAGGCATATTGTAGAATGTCACTCTTATTAAGAAAATACGTAATTTGTTTTATAACTAATGTATTATTTTCTGTATTTAGTTATTTCCTATAATTTTTAACTAATTAAAATTCAATAAAAATAATTAATATTTTTGAGGCTTGTAATTTGCCATTATTATTTACATTAAAAATGTAAAACATAGATTTTTTAAGAACAATTTTTTTCTAAAAAACATGGACCATTCTGAAACGGAGGGAGTACATACATAAAATGTTGAATGTGAGTATAAACCTCTCATTCATAGCCTAAGCTGTATATATAGAATATTTGTTCATTTTCACACATACATGATCTATTGTAATAATTTATGGTGGCATGGTTTATTGATAGTTTTGTAGACGATATAGACTAATTAAAGATAAATTAAAAATAATTGATATTTTATTCTATCTTTCTCATATTTAATTGTTTTTGTTTATGATTCACCAGCACTAAGTTGTTGAAAATATGTTGTAGACGATATAGACTAATTAAAGATAAATTAAAAATAATTGATATTTTATTCTATCTTTCTCATATTTAATTGTTTTTGTTTATGATTCACCAGCACTAAGTTGTCTACAAGGACACTTAATATGAAAATAGTATTATTGGTAATGATTCTTAATTTTGTTTTTCTACATAATAGAACTATTAATGGTTTAAAAATAGTTTATTATATTTAAAAAGCAGCCTGTTCATTACTCTCTCTCTCTATTTCAAAATAAGGCATATTGTAGAATGTCACTCTTATTAAGAAAATACGTAATTTGTTTTATAACTAATGTATTATTTTCTGTATTTAGTTATTTCCTATAATTTTTAACTAATTAAAATTTAATAAAAATAATTAATATTTTTGAGGCTTGTAATTTGCTATTATTATTTACATTAAAAATGTAAAACATAGATTTTTTAAGAACAATTTTTTTTCTAAAAAACATGGACCATTCTGAAACGGAGGGAGTACATACATAAAATGTTGAATGTGAGTATAAACCTCTCATTCATAGCCTAAGCTGTATATATAGAATATTTGTTCATATTTTTCACACATACATGATCTATTGTAATAATTTATGGTGGCATGGTTTATTGATAGTTTTGTAGACGATATAGACTAATTAAAGATAAATTAAAAATAATTGATATTTTATTCTATCTTTCTCATATTTAATTGTTTTTGTTTATGATTCATCAGCACTAAGTTGTTGAAAATATGACCTTTGTCACAAAATATTTTTTGAAAATATGACAAATACATACACGTAAGGAGGTGTATTCAACTTAGAGTTTGAGGTGTTATTCAAACATGAATTTTAAAATTTTATTTAAATTTTATTGATATTTCATAAAATAATTTAAAATCCGTTGTTATTTAATTATTTTCAAATTTTAGAATTTTAAAGTTTTCATGTGATTTTAAAGTGTTTGGATGAAATTTCTTTGTTAAAAAAAATTCAAATCCCATGAATTTATATGATATCCTAGGTAGATTAATAAAATTCATTTTAAACTCTCTAATTTATAAAAATCATCAAAATCATTAAAAATCCATATCATCTCAAATTTTAAGTTGAAAATATCTCTAGAAATGAAGCTGTAATATAGGAAGTATATATAGTTCTCGCAAGGAAAAATAAAATGAAAAGAGTAAACAATTTTTTTTATAACATAAACTAAAAGCCACAACTTATAATATACTTTTCCATTAAAAACTGAAATTGAATAGCATTAAGAAAGAACTGAAAGTTAATTCAAATTCTCACAATAACTGAAGAAATAGCAGAATGTGATACTACAATGTTTATATATCGCAGCCAAATGGAATTACAATCGAAAATAGAGAAACTAAAGAGAAGTTAACATACACATATCAAACACAATGACTAACACAAATTTAAGGAATAGTGAGTGATGAGAATCTAACTCATGTTCAATAAAGGAGTTTTATCTAGCACTTGTTATGATGTTATTAAGTTCTTTAATCATTGTTATTTTCATCTTTCTTTTGAAGTTAATTAATATACAATGCATATATGCTCATGTCATGTGGAACATCATTCCTCCTCTATCTTTCTTTTCATTTTGATTTTAAATATTTTGCTTCTCACTTTTCTAGAGATTCGTCACTTCCAAGTCTTTTATGCGTCTCTCGTGTAGCAACGTTTTCTGAACCCTAGGAGCTGCATTCTGAAATACGAAACCGGTAAAACAATGTATCTATTGGCTCTGAGTGCATGCCACAAATGGCGATCTTTGTATAGCGAGAAATATTTACTCTCCTTTCAAGAAATTTCACCTATTTACTCTATAATAGTTACTCCCACTTCCTCTACTACTATTAATTACTAATCGCACTCTATATACTCCATCTGTTTCACTTTATTTGTCATTCTAGTTTTTTACCCACAAATTTAGGAAATATTTAATTTTACATATTTCTAAGATAAAAACACAGTTACCTATACACCTAACCACTTTTCAACCAATAGAAAATTAGAATATTATATAAAACTAATAAATTTTACCTCGAAACTTTAAAATGACACTTAATTTGTGACAAAAAAATAAGTCTATAATGACATATATTTTGAAACGGATGGAATAGAAATCAGTCCAAATTGTATTTTTTTCACCAAACAAGTGAAAAGAGGAATTTTGCACGTGTTGAATTTTTATTGTGAAAAATAGAAAGCAGAATACACACACACACATATATATATATATATATATTTTTTTTTTGCCAAAATGAGGAGGGAAATATAGTACGTATATCTATGTAAAAAATGCATTTTCCTCTTTTCATGTTTTCTTCATCTTATTTCCTCTAAATAACATAGCCAATTTTTTTTTCTTCATTGCTTCAAATTAAGTTCTTACCGTCTTGGAAATTTCTCAACCATATTATGTTTTATTGGTATAATGTATACCACCTTCTCTTTAACGAAGCAGTGCACTGGTAGAAAGGATAATTTTATTGTTATCTTTATAACTTCTTAAATCTCAGAACCGACATGGTCTTGTTACAAAACATAAAATACCATTATGGATGCAGTATTTGGGCAACACTGATCATATATATATATATATATATATATATATATATATTTTTTTTTTTGTAACTTAACACTGATAACTTATGTCGCTTATTTTTACCATAAGTCATTGAAGGCATCAAGTATACTAACCGTTTAACTTGTAAATATTCGAATTAAATAAAACAAGATTTTATCATTTCTCAAAAAAAAGTAGATTTTATCACTATTGCGACCAATGTGCGGAAACTGTATGATAGAGAAACAACGTGGCATTGTCTGCTACATGTCCACATCTCTTGTTTGGTAGTGGACTGTGTTATTATTGGCACAGACCAAACCCACTTCCTTTCCCATTTCTTCATTAGATTTTTTCTCTCTTGAAAATTGATGGGCAATAGGAAACACAATTTCAAATTCTCTCTCCTCTCAAAAGAACCAATAGTCCCTACTCCGTTGTGTATCTCTTTCTCTCTCTCCATTTAGTAAAGACCTAAACTTTATCGTCTTTTCTTGCTGGATTTAATCGCTTCTTAAATTGGTGTTAGATCAATTTCCCACTTTACTTTTGTTGCTTGTAGACTTAAAAGACTAGTCTAGTAGGTTTTGGTGGGCTATTACAAAAGAAAAATAAAAATAAAGATGAAAAAGTCAAAGTCAAAAATTTTAAAACTTTGAACGAGCTATTTTTATTTATCATCGTCATCTTCCTGCTCTATAGCTTATGATTAACTTATGAGAAGTTAAAGCTATGATTATTTCTTTAATCAAATAGCTAGGGCTTTGGAGAGAGAGAGAGGGGTTAGAAAAAAGTTTTAATCTTTGTTTAAGAAAAAGTTAAAACAAGATTAGGGTTTCATTTCAGAAGCTCAAAGATCAAACAGATGGAAGAGGTTAGAGAGAAGAAAGATGATAAAATGGAGATGGAAAAAAGACAATCATCAGCTAACCAAAACATTCAAGATCATCTTCTTCCTCCTCCGTACACTTACTCCCAAACCGCCGACAAACAGAAACCCACCACCAAAAGAAACGGGTCGGATCCGGATCTTGATACCAACCCAATTTCTATAGCTCCAGCTTCAAGGTCACACGCTCACCCGCAAACTACTTCTCCGACAGGAACTGTGAGGTACAAAGAATGCCAAAAGAACCACGCGGCGAGCTCCGGCGGACATGTGGTCGACGGTTGCGGCGAGTTTATGTCATCAGGTGAAGAAGGCACGGCGGAGTCACTTCTTTGCGCCGCATGTGATTGTCACCGGAGCTTCCACAGAAGGGAAGTCGACGGCATGTTCGTCGTCAGATTCAATAGCTTTGGTCGTCATTCACAGAGACCGGTCGTTAACCACCAGGTGTCCCCGATCATGATGAGCTTTGGTGGTGGCGGAGGAGGAAGAGATCCGGCGGAGTCATCCACGGAGGATCTCAACAGGTTTCATCAGCCTTTAAGTGGGAATGGAGTGGAGCAGTTTCAATATCATCCCAAGAAGAGGTTTAGGACAAAGTTCAATCAAGAACAGAAGGAGAGAATGTACGAGTTTGCTGAGAAGATTGGTTGGAGAATGAACAAGACAGAAGATGAAGAAATTAACCGGTTTTGTCGTGAGATTAATGTGAAAAGACAAGTGTTTAAAGTTTGGATGCACAACAATAAGCAAGCTGCCAAGAAGAAAGAAACGTAAGAGACTTTTAACTTTATATATGTACTCTTTGTTATAAAATGTTTTCTGATTTTTACCGCAACAAGAGAAGCCTTTTTCCTAGACGGATTCATATAATGTATTTTGACGATCGCTTGACCTTATGTCCTTGGTTTCTTTGAATTTTTTGGACGCTAAATTTTTGGTTTTGTGTTAGATTTCATATACTCAATTGATCCGCGTCCATTGCTTATGTTTGTCTCTACCATACTTCATTGTACGTTTGCCTCCGAGTGTCTTTGGCACTCCTCCACCTCTTTTTGGCTCCTTCATAGGCTTCACTGTTCTTCTTCGTCACCATGCTGATCACAGCCGATCTTGTCATACTCATACCGTAACTCAACCTATGCAAAGTCTTTGGCGTTTCTTACTTTCTTGTAACTTGTAAGCAAAAGTCTTTGGTCTCACCAGCTTTCTCATAGCCAAAATCCTTAGCTTTCTGGCACGCATTACACGCCTCATCAAGTTATCATAGGCCATGTCTTTGCATACCCGCTTTATCAGGCTACGTGTTTTGCATCACAAGCCTATCATATGCAAAATCCTTCGCGTGACCAGCCTTAAAATAAAGTTATGAACGGAAAAATAAATGTTCTATTCTATTATTATTGAAAAATAGAATTTGAAACTCTATTTTATAGTGAAAATAGAGCGGAGGTCGAAGATACTCTTAACATCAAAATCCTTTGCGTGACCAGCCTTAAAATAAAGTAAAAAACAAAAAAAAAACAAATGTTTTACTCTATTATTAACTGCAAAATAGAATTTCAAACTCTGAAAATAGAGCGAGGTCGAAGATACTCAGCCTTAGCCTTAACATAGGTAAAATCCTTGGTGTAAATGTCATAAGCCGAGTCCTCTTGTTGTAAGCATAGTTTTTGAGCGATGGGCGGCATTTATAGGCTCCTTTTTCTTACTACCTCTAAATTCATATACTCCTACTACTAAGTAGGGCCAAATACGTGCTTATTCTCCAATGAGGTGACCAAATTTAAACATGATACATTGACATATTTCACATGAAAAAATGAGATGACTATGGAGGAGAATATCAACGTAACAGGATTTGGTGGGGTAAGCGACTGGATGGGCCAAAAAGTGGGTTTCAGAAATTACTTACGTGGTGATTTTGTCGGAGACCCAACCAGCCCATGAAGCCTGGCTTGTCTTTAGCGTCTTGAGCAGCCTTCGTCGCCATTTCGGCAGCTCGCGTCCTTCACCTGTCATCCCCTTCTGCTGCGTTCAGTACCACCAGCAGTGCCAAAGCCTTTCTTCTCTCCATCATCTCTTTAACCAGTGATTAGGATCAAACTTTCTTTGACCAAAACCTTTGTTTTGTCTTTTTAATGGTTTGATTCTAGTTTCAATGTCCTCGAAAGTTATCAAGTTATTGAGAAAAGTTTGTAAAGCAGAGACCAGAGGTCTTTTTGAGAAGCAGTAACTGTTCATCACGTGGTATTACTTGTTTACGTGGCAGCCAAGGATACGATTTTGTTGAGGAAGTGTCTCAGCATATTCGCCACGTATCTTATAATGTCACAGTGCTGTCTCACGCGGTTATAACCGGTTTATTTTAGATTAAAACTTAAAAATCTGACCAATTCCAACTTAACCGAATATGAAAATTTCGGTGTTTCAATTTTTAAAAATAAAATAAAATCAAAACTATGGTTAAGAAACAAACCATACATACAGAAGCGCAGTGACTACGCGTACATAAACGATTGGCCACCTTCAGTCGCAAGTCTGGCTCTCTGGTGGTGTTCTTGAATTTTGTAATCCACAATCTCTTCAAAAAGCTGTGAATCCAAGACGCAATCTGGTCTTCCGTACACCGCAGCTTGAACACCAGCGACAAGCTTAGCTATCTCACGACCAGAGAATCCTTCTATCTTTTTCGCAGCCTCTCTAATCACTTGGTCGGTTAAGTCTCCTTCAACGGTTATCTTCTGTGCCTGCTTCTTGAAAAAGTGGCTCCACTTCGTGTTTGTGTCTTTGTCACTCTCTTCACCCGTTAGGTACTTGTTGAGATAGAGTTTAATGAGCTTGAAGCGTTCATCTTCACCAGGGAGAGGAAACTCGATAACTTCGTCGATCCTGTCAGTGACTGCACTGTCAAGATCCCCGGGTCTGTTTGTGGCCAGGACCAGAACAATGTCCCGTGACTGATCACCCGTTCTAAAGAGCAATGCGTTCAGAGCGCTACGCTGAGCCTCACTCATATACGTGCTGTTACGTCTGCAATAAAACAATCAAGACTTTGATTAACTATTACAATAAAATATTGAAAGGCTTTCAGAAAGAGGTGAGAGTGTCTTACTCGCAGAGGAAAGCATCAGCTTCATCGATGAAAAGCAATAAGCCTTTGTTTGATTTCTTAGCCCAATCAAATATCTCATGGATTTTTGTAACAGCCTGTGCACCCAGTGGAGCGACATCTCCTCCTGTCATCATAGCATAATCAAGACCCTGCAGCACAATAAAAGCAAACATCTGTTACAAGGTGAAGGCTCAAGAATATAGTAGATCAAGGATGAGGAAACAAATAGGCTCACCGACTTCCGAGCAATCTCTCTGGCCACCATTGTTTTACCAGTACCAGGAGGACCATAAAACATCATGTTGCGGAATGGAGCTTGATGAGACTTAGTATTTGCTGTCGCTCTAGCAAGATGCTCAATTCTCTTCTTTAGAGAAGGATGGAGAATAACATTATCAAGTGGATTCTCTCCTTTTGCAGATGCAGCTTTACCAAACTTTGAGATTTTGTTCTTATACTGAGACACTGAGCCTGCCCATGGAAATCTACCCATGGAGGATTCTCGGATAAGTGACGGCTGTCCAAGTATCCGGTTAATATAACCCCATGTAACCCTAGCACCCTCTCTGTATTCATAAAAGAACCATGTAAAAAATCAACACTAATATGCTTCTTAAATCACAACAGCTAATAATATAGGTTTCTCAAAATGACCAACAAAATATCTAGTTAGGAGATGCATACCGGGTTGTGTAAACCCCAGCGGCTAAAGCTGTAGCTCCTGCAACAGTCATAATCAGCTTATTTCGGTCAGTTAATAAGGCCTTGACTCCCCCTGCCAAGTTCAATATAGACAACGCTGTTATCATCTAAAATATTAATCAAAATGTTACTTGTTTCAGAACAATTTAAGTATAACTAAGAAGTGGATATACAATGCTTATGAGTTACATCATACCTTCAATGTGACTGAAGGTGGTGTTGATAGCTGCAAGCCATTTCTCCCTTTCACCATTGATCTTATCAAGGAGCATTCTCCGATTCTGGTCCTCAGTAAGTTTGGCTTCGTGAGCTCGGCCTTCAGCCTCAGCCATGGCTTTGACGCGAATGGTTTCACGCTCAAGCTCAGCTCTCTCTTTCTCAGTCTGACGCTGCTGCGCTTGAATCTGTTCTTCCGTGGCGATTCTTGCTTTCTCTTTCCGTATAGAAGATTCCTCTTGCATCTTTACCAACTCAACATTATGCTGTCTCTGGACTTCATGATCCGTCTGCAAAAGTTCCAAGTCAAACAATATTCTCAAGGACCCTTTTAAACAGGTAAAAAAAACGTTCACTGTTTTCTTTTCTTACCTGAAGTCGCTTCCTCGCCAACTCATCTTCATAGCGAAGATTCTGCGCTTTTGCTTGTGCCTGCTGCTGCAATAGATTCCTCTGATCCTCAGCCAATTTCTGCTGTCTTTCCTAACCATTCAAAATCCCCATAAAAACAATCATATCTGTCGCCTTTTCCAGCTTAAAATGTTTATATTCACTGTAAGAAATCTAGATACTGCAACCAATGTTGCTGTAAATACCCTCAAGATTTAAAAGCCATAGACTATTATTAAATATTTCAACTAATTAATTTTTTTAGGGGGTGTTTGCCCGGGTACAGGATCAAGTAGTAACTCACGATGTCCTTGTGCGCTTGAACAGCTTCATTATGCGACTTATCAGCGGCTAGTTCAGCCAAACGAGTCTTCTCCTGCTTACACATTACATCGAACACCTACAAACAAAAAGTAACCATTACATCTCTCATCAACAAGAAATACATTTATCATCAATGATCCTCACCTGCTTGAAATGAGGAGAGGATTTGATCTCTCGAAGAGCTTTAGCGCCTCTTTCAAAGGACTCAGCATCGAAACCAGATCCTTTACGTTCATCAGCCTCCGGTTTGGTCTCCGACGAACTCTGATCGGTTTGAGACTCCGACGGCGGCGTAGAGGAGGAAGAAGAGAAGAAGGGGAAGCGAAATCGAGAGTCAGCGTAAGCTCGGTTCGGAGAAAAGGAGAAAGCAGCAGCAATCGCCGCCGCGGAACATAGTCTAAAAGCAGCCATTGTATTGTATTGTATTCGATTCTGGTGAGAGGAGCATAAACCCCCACGGTGGTTAGGGTTTAAATTGTCTTTTTCTTAGTCGGTGGTTAGGGTTTAAATCGTCTCACTTCTTTCTCCCGAAGTAAATCGAATATCCGATGGGCTCAGCTGTATATTTGGGCCCGTGTTTAAGCCCAATTCTTTCCTTCTCTGAGAGAAGGTAACCGGATTTAGCTACAATTTCACTCATTGGCCTGGGCGTTTTTATCCGAACCCGAAATACCTACCTAAACCGAACCGGAAAAACCGAAACCGAATCTAAACCCTTATATAAAAATATCCGAACGGGACTTATGAGCTTAGTACTTTAGAGTTTGGTTATAATCCGAACCGAACCGAAATCCAAACTAGGATCCGAAGATATCTGAAATTAGCTAAATATGTATGTTAGTATTTTTATATATGGTAAGGTGATTTAGATATTTTAGAGTATTCAAAATATTTTTTAGTTTATTTCATATGTTATTTTGATATTTTTAGTTAATTTAGATAGTTTAACTAATTTTTAATTAGATTTATAAATAACTAATATCTTTTGAAAAATAAATTTGTCAATTTTTAAGGTTTAAAAACTAAAAATTTGGATGATTTTAAACGTTGGTTACATCCGATTTAAACCGAACACAGAAGGAACCGAACCGAATCGAACCCGATCTGATAATTAGTAAAACCCGAATGGGACTTCTAAGCTTAACACCGAAAATTCAAAAATCCGAATCACCCGTACTGATACTGAACGGGACACCAAACGCCCATGCCTATTCACTCAGTTGAACCCTATAACTATATAAGTACTACATTGTTGGAGGAACGTCACGAAAACGCTATGGTAGCGCAGCAAAATAAAGTTCACTGCACTTGTACTTGTGTTAACTTGCGAGAACTATTTCGAATATAAATCTAAAGAAGAAAAGTAAATGAAACCAAATTTTATTTTATGTAGTTGACTCTCTTGATATGAAGAACACCAACCGCCAGTGGGGGATGTAGAGAAAAAATTATAAGAGGTGCATAACTAAAGTTATACAAACAATTAGAGATAGAATCACTAAAACTAAAGGTGCATATTTGAAATTATATAGGATTTTGTATGTAAATTTGATTATAGTCCGGGGGCAGGTGCCCCCTCTTGGACAATGTGGCTCGCCACTGCGAACCGCATGACCGTAGTACATTCATATATTATATTCGACTAGAACATATGCCACAACCAATGGCTCCAAAGATTAATCTCTAACATACAAAAAATTTACAAGAAAAACAATAATAGAACTACAAACGAACAGCCACAACAACTTCAGCTAACTAGAATTCCAGCCACCACCATAAGATAATCCCATCTTACAGATCCAAGATTTCAGGTTTACCAAAGAAGATCTTTCCGTTACGTTTCACAAACAGATAGCACCTGCTAAAGGGAACTACATCGACCAAACACAAATGTAATGACTGCTCAAATATGTATCTATATAAATGTTTATTTTCGATTTGTAGTACATAATATTTATGATAGATCGACAGTTTAACTACCTGTAATTTGTTGGTTGCTCATATTGTGGTTGAATATTAAACATATTAAAATGATATAGTATATTCGTTAATTAGTAATTTTAATAACATTTTAACCATTTTTATGTACTTAGTTATAAATTGAAATATCAATTATTATGTTTATGTATATTAATTAAATCTATCTTTGCAAAATAGAATATTTTATGTCAAATAAAATACACTTATATTTAATAAAATAATAGATATGTCTTTAAGTTTTCAAAAGATAAATAATATTTATTCTATGGTTATATTTTAGGAAATATTAAATTAATTGTTTTTATAATTATATATATATGTGTGTGTGTGTGTGTGATAATAATAATCATCAAATTAACATATATTTGAAAAATATTTTTATAATTTAAAAAAATTATAGTTTCTATTTTGTATATGAAATGAAATAATAATATACATGAACATATAATCATTAAATATGTATATCATATTTAAATAAATATGTTTAAATTTATTGTAAAACAATGATTTGTTAAAACATAAAATTATTTATATGTTTAGAAAATAAAATGATTTGATTTGTTAACATATTTTGTTGGGGTATTTTCAGAATTAACTCAAAACATAAGTCAACCACAAAACTAACCTATGTTTTTTTTAGATTAATCTCTAACATATGAAAATTTTACAAGAAAAGCAATAATAGAACTACAAACTAAGAGCCACAACAACTTCAGCTCACTAGGATTCCAGCCACCACCATAAGATAATCCCACTTTACAAATCTAAGATTTCAGGTCTACCAAAGAAGATTTTGCTGTTAGGTTTCACAAATAGATAGCACCTGCTTAAGAGAACTACATCGACAAAACACGATGATTGCACAAATATGTATCTAGTCCTGGTGGCCTGGTGGTGATTAATTTGTGGGTAAAAAGCCCAATATGGTGAAGCCACAAGGATTCGAGTCCCGGTCACCGGGAAATTAACATTTCGGCATGACCAGGGACATGAGACTGACATATGAAACATGTGACTAGTCCGAATCACTTTTGTAAGGCCAGAATACCCATGTATAATTTAAAAAATAAACAAATATGTATTTATATAAATGTTTGTTTTCGATTTGTAGTATATAATATTTATGATAGCTTGACAGTTTAACTATCTATAATTTGTTGGTTGCTCATATTGTGGTTGAATATTAAACATATTAAAATGATATAGCATATTACGTAATTAGTAATTTTAATTACATTAACCATTTTTATGTACTTAGTTATAAACTGAAATATCAATTATTATGTTTATGTATATTTATTACATCTATATTTCCAAAATAAAATATTTATGTCAAATAAAATTCACTTATGTTTTAATAAAACAAATAGATATGTCTTTAAGTTTTCATAAGACAAATAAAATTTCTTCTATGTCTATTGTTTAGGAAATATTAAATTAAATTATTTTTTATAATTTTATATATTAATGTGAATAATAATAATCATCAAATTATTTAACATACATTTGAAAATAATTTTATATGTTTTAATAAAAAAATTATAGTTTATATTTTGTATATGGAATGAAATAATAATATACATGAATATATAATCATTAAAATTTTATATTATATTTAAATAAATATGTTTAAATTTATTCTAAAACAATTATTTGTTAAAACATATAAAATTATTTGTATGTTTAGAAAATAAAATAATTTTATTTGTTAACACATTATTTTATTTGTCAAGTCTATTGTAAACAATGATTAGAGAATATTATGGTTATAAAATAATGATAAGTTTGGATAAAGAATAATGGTGGTTAGAGAATAATCTAACAAGATAATTGATTTATTTAATTAATAATTAGTAAGTCAGTGGTATAAATTGTAATTATTATGATGAAAGAATGGTTATTTTCAAAAGGTAATTCAGTTTTCATAATATAAATATATACTAAAAAAATATATTCAAAATCATATTCTTAAAAATATTTTTAATTTTTCACATGGCGCATAAAACATAGTAAGTAATTATATAGAGTGAAAAACTTAGTGCCAATAAATGTATTACATTTTTATTATTATTTTGATTTAAGTTATTAATTTGTTCACATAAACTATGTCTTTCATTATGTGCTTGGCAACGTAGTTTTTCACCAATTGAAACTAAGATAAAAAAAGTTCTAGTAAAACAGATTAAATCAAACTTTAAACCATATGCAAAATCTGGTTATTTTATATTTTTAGAATTGGCACGAAATTAATGTTGATTAACTAATAAATAAAACTCTGCACTATTTGGCTGTTTGGCTGCGGAGTGTGTTTATGAAGGAAAAGGATGATTTGCAGACCCCATAAGGAGGACGAGGTTCAAGTATTTGTCTCGGCCTTGGTGGGTGGTGTCGTGTTTTTGATCTGGTGGGATGCTCAGATGCTTTAGGCTCTGTGTTTCTAGATGGAGATTTCGATTTGGAGCTACTCGATTTTTTGCTTCCTTTCCTTTCTTGCATCGCACGTTTTTTAGCGATGGTTTTTTGTCTTTCGTTCTTGGTTGTATGGGACCTTCTTGTTTCCTTTTAATCTAAGCATTCTCAGAGTTAAAAAAAAAAAAAAAACTCTGCACTATTATTATGGTAATATATTAAAGGTGTGGTGTATTGTTATGGTAATATAATTAATGAAGCTGTTAAACTGAAGAAAAATGGAATGACAATTAATGCAATAATTTGTTGAAAAAATATTAAGTCAGATTTTGTGCTTCAGTTTTAATAGTATAGACTAGATTTTGACCCGCACAACAGTGTGGATTTTTCGAATACTAAAATATTTTATGTTATACAATACAAATTATCAATATATTAAAATAATTTGATGATTATATATTATCTAAATTTGTGATAATGTTTATGTGGCTTATAAAATTATTATTCTAATATTTAATTTTTTTTATATAAAAACAATATTATTATATAACAGTAATAATTATTTTATTTCTAAATTGGAAATATATGTGAAGTTAAGTTGGACCAACATTATAATAAAGAAATTTTTTAGAAATAATATTATAATTATTTTATATAATTTTGATTTGTGTTCTAAATCAAAAATGAATAATTGTTTTAATTATATTTTCTGATAATTAAAATTTTAGTGAACTAATTCGAAAATATATTTGAAAAAATCTTAAAGATCTTAAAAAAATATTGTTAGAATTTTTTTTTTGTATTTCAAATAAAAATTAAAGATATGAAAGATATTATAATGATGTTATAGAAAATCTAATAAATTTTCTAAGGAAGGTCTAATTTAAACAATTACACATGAATTAATTTATGACTTCTGTTTTAATATAATAGATGTACTATTTTCAAAAAATGCCTACATGATAGTCATTACTGGGACATCACCGTGGCGAGAAGTAGCTGCTTGGTATGGCCAGATACTGAACGAAATTTCCCCATATTAACTGTGGAATCGAGAAAATTAACACCTAATAAAAATCAATACCTAATAACACAAAATCGTGTTGCAAATCTCTTCGATTCACAATAACTCAATTTTTTTTGGTATTACTAAAAAGGGAAGCAAAAAAAATTTAAAAATGTGTAGACGACAAAAGTAAAAAAATCTCTACATATACCTATGTATAAATATGTTTTTATTACTATTTGAACCACACAGTAATTATTTCGCAGTTGTCCCGCATGTTACCATTTAGAGACTCTGTAACTTGGAAAAGGAGACATGAAAAATGGAAGGGAGAGCAATTTGAACCCAATTACACCAAACTGTAGCTTGTAACCACTAGAGAATGTTGTTAGATTGAAGTAAATTAGTAAACCTGATAATTAAAAGTAAGACTAAAAATATTCTCTGTGTAATCTTTGATTTTTTGGTAAATCGTTAGGTCCAAACCGATCGTCCAACTCACACATAACCTATTCCCATCACATATATTTTTTTTCTCACAAAATCTAAAAATTATTACTACTTTTATTGTATGTTGCACAAACAACATACACATATATGTATGTTGCATAATATATGTGTAACATTTTCTTGATAGCTTATTATAATTATGTATTTGAATTCTTATGTTTAACAAAAACATTTCCATTCCACTAAAACTTAAATTGTATATGCGACTGCAGTTTTTTATTCCACTGGTATTGATTCCAATAATAAAAGATATGCAGCTGCACCTAAAATAAAGAAATGTAAATTACATTGTATATGAGTAACAATTGATTTTATGGAAACATATTAAGTCCATTTATACTCTAACTTAGACACTTCTTGACCATGCGTGAAATAAATCCCATCTTCTCTTGCATCCCAGTAGTTCTTCTTACCATGATCAAATGCACCACTACTACCTTCAAATGCCCTAATCATTACAGAAGGTCCACGGATCTGGCGAAATGTACAATTAATTTTGTTCTTAGGAATAAATTTATCATGAAAGGCAAAATCATCAGTTTCTCCTGGTTTTAAGAAAAATGTGCCAATCTGTTCACCATTCCATTGACCAAAAAATTTGGAGCTCGTTTCCTGGAACAAGAGAGTTTTTTAAGTATATGTGATTTTGCGCAAAAAGTTTGGTGGTACATAACCCAATAGACAATACCATGATAAACAAAAAGCACAAGAAACAATTTATCATTTTAGTCAATAGATGTTTTTTGTTAGAGATATATGTATTTTAAAAATAAGATATGCTAATTTATACAAGGGTATCTATACATACACACATACACACATATGTATTATAAATTTATTTTTTGAAAATTAATTAACCCTTTATATTATTCTGAATCTGGATAATACGAGTGAATTGATGGTGATCAAAGTGACTTTTGGTTGGTTTGGTATTATATTTTGACCTTTTAATTATATTTTGACTATGATCGTAAGAGATTAATTCAAAATCTCGCTATTATGAATTTCAATAATTTTTTTGTGTGTTTTATCTAAAAAAGTGTTTTACAGCATTCCCAACGTTTATTTTTTTTTTCATAGGATTTTATGGTTTTTAGAAATTAAAATAATAACAAAAACAGAGAGAATACCAAATAAAGTTCTATAGAGGACTTTCAAGAACAGTTTTAGAATTTGTGTTGCCATATGTCTTCATATATATGGCTCATCATTTTCAAACAAAAGAAATTATAATCAGAAAAGTATAGGGAATTCGGCCAAAAACATGAAATTTGCACGAATTGGCAAAAAATATGTACTCAAGCCTGACCAAAAATACTTTACTTTTGTTGAATTTTTTAGTTTATTTTTTTTTGTTCAAATAAATTAAAGATATGAAAGATATTATAATGATGTTAAATTAAAAAAAAATTATACATGAACTGAATTATGACTTCTGTTTTAATATAATAGATGTATCTACTCTATTAAAATAGAGTCATTCTTTTTATCTACTGATACATGTTGTCATTTAAATTTGGACCCTCTCTAGAATGTTACAAATAATATAAGCCACATAATTGATTGAACCGTATTACTTAAATTAAACCAACACAATTAATGTAAAGAGACGACCTTAATGTAACCTATCTTCAAAATATGGCATGTATCTATGTATATACCGAAAACACATATTTTCTCCTACAAATATGGAATGTTCTAAAAGAATATTTACATCAAAATATGGAATATGGAAATCTACTAATTATACTTAAATTAAACCAATGGTTATTTATGGAATATAGTCTTGGGCTTACTTTTATTTTTTGAACAAATTATATAGTTTGGTTTTTGGGCTTAGTATTAAGAAAAAAACTCCAAAACATTGAATATTTCACCTTAAAATATCAAAAATCAATTATTATTTTCAGACCCAAAAGGTATTTAATATTTTTAACAAAACAAAATTATCTATTATTAATCATTTATTTAAATCATGTACTTAAAACATGTTAATATATTTTTTTATTTTAATTTTTTTTTTTTATTTTTCTTAAATAATTTACTGATTAAAAAAATGTAAAGCAAAACCAAAAACCAAATCTAAAAACTAAAATCCAAAACCAAAAGCTGAAAACACATGTTATATTTTTTGCTTTGTTTATTTACAAAATAAACTATTTCAAAAAATTTTAAAAAAATTTGTTATCATTTTTTCAGTTTTAAATTAGATGTTCAATTATTTGAGATTTGTTTGTTGGTAATATTAGTTCAAACTAACTCAGCGGGTTTAAAAATTAAATACCCAAACCAAAAACTGAAAATGAAAAGTAGAAACTTAAAAACTAAAAACCAAAATCTAAAAATAAAAACTGAAACTAAAAATTAACGAAAAACAATCATCACCACAAATTTTGGTGAACTGATTTTATATCAAATTATTCTTTAAATTAAGACAAAACCCAATTATATAAATTTTTAATCATAAAAAATTTCCGCGCTTGATAAACCCAAATCAAAAACTGAAAATGAAAATAAGAAACTTAAAAACTAAAAACCAAAAACCAAAATCTAAAAATAAAACCTGAAACTAAAAACTAATGAAAACAATCATCACCACAAATTTTGGTGAAATGATTTTATATCAAAATATTCTTTAAATTAAGAGAAAAGCCAATTATATAAATTTTTAATCATAAAAAATTCCGTGTTTAAAAATATAGTTACTTTTTAAAAACGCCTACATGATAGTCATTACTGGGACAGTCACCGTGGCGAGAAGGAGCTGCTTGGTATGGCCAGATACTGAACGAAATTTCCCCATATTAACTGTGGAATCGAGAAAATTAACACCTAATAAAAATCAATAACTAATAACACAAAATCGTGTTGCAAATCTCTTCGATCCACAATAACTCAATTATTTTTGGTATTACTAAAAAAGGAAGCAAAAAAAATTTAAAAATGTGTAGACGACAAAAGTAAAAGAAAGGCTCCGAATAGTAACAGACCGCCCCGTCCCGCACCGCACCACCATGAATAGTAAAAAAATCTCTACATATACCTATGTATCTATATGTTTTTAGTACTATTTGAACCGCACAATAATTATTTCTCAGTTGTCCCGCATGTTACCATTTAAAGACTCTGTAACTTGGAAAAAGAGACATGAAAAATGGAAGGGAGGGCATTTTGAAACCCGATTACACCAAAATGTAGCATGTAACCACTAGAGAATGTTGTTAGACTGAAGCAAATTAGTAAACCTGATAATTAAAAGTAAGACTAAAACTATTGTCCGTGTAAGCTTTGATTTTCTGGTAAATCGTTAGGTCCAAACCGATCATCCAACCCACACCTAACCTATTCCCAGCACATATATTTTATGTCACATATATTTTTTTCTCAAAAAATTTAAAAATTAGTATTACTTTTATTGTATGTTGCAGAAACATATGTATGTGTAACATTTTCTTTATAGCTCATTATAATTATGTATTTGAATTCTTATGTTTAACAAAAACATTTCCATTCCACTAAAACTTACATTGTATATGCGACTGCAATTTTTTATTCCATTGGTACTGATTCCAATAATAAAAGATATGCAGCTGCACCTAAAATAAAGAAACGTAAATTACATTGTATATGAGTAACAATTCATTTTATGGAAACATATTAAGTCCATTTATACTCTAACTTAGGCACTTCTTGACCATGCGTGAAATAAATCCCATCTTCTCTTGCATCCCAGTAGTTCTTCTTACCATGATCAAATGCACCACTACTACCTTCAAATGCCCTAATCATTACAGAAGGTCCACGGATCTGGCGAAATGTACAATCAATTTTGTTCTTAGGAATAAACTTATCATGAAAGGCAAAATCATCAGTTTCTCCTGGTTTTAAGAAAAATGTGCCAATCTGTTCACCATTCCATTTACAAAAAATTTGGAGCTCGTTTCCTGGAACAAGAGAGTTTTTTAAGTATATGTGATTTTGCGCAAAAAGTTTGGCGTTTCCAAACCCAATAGACAATACGATGATAAACAAAAAGCACAAGAAACAATTCATCATTTCAGTCAATAGATGTTTTTTGTTAGGGATTTATGTATTTTAAGAATAAGATATGCTAATTTATACAATGGTTTCTATACATACACACACATGTATTATAAATGTATTTTTTGAAAATTAATTAACCCTTTATATTATTCTGAATCTGGATAATACGAATGAATTGATGGTGATCAAAGTGACTTTTGGTTGGTTTGGTATTATATTTTGACCTTTTAATTATATTTTGACTATGATCATAAGCGATTAATGCAAAATCTTGCTACTATGAATTTCAATAATTTTGTTGGGTTGTTATCTGAAAAACTGTTTCACAGCATTCATAAAGTTTATTTTTTTCATAGGATTTTGAAGGGTTTTAAATATTAAAATAATAACAAAAAGAGAGAAAATACCAAATAAAGTTCTATAAAGGACTTTCAAGAGCAGGATTAGAGTTTGTGTTGCCATATGTCATCATATATATTGCTCATCATTTTCAAACAAAATAAATTTTAATCAGAAAAACATAGGAATTCGGCCAAAAAAACATGTACTCGAGCCTGGCCAAAAAATACTTTACTTATATTGATTTTTTTTAGTTTATTAAGTAACTTAAAATTGACTGACTTTCAAATGAGATGAAACGACATCGTTTTACATGTTTTGAAAATAAAAACAAGTAGACCCCTGAATTCGAACTCATACGCTGGTTGGGTCAAATGACAAGGTATTTTACCACTGGGCTAGTGGCACTTTCAATGGAGCTACTAACATATTTAATTTTATTTGGTACTGATTGAATATAAAAAATTCTATAAAAACTTTAAAGATCTTTAAAATTCCAAAAAATTGCAAAATAGAGAAAATTTTTATAAACTTAATTTTGAAATTAAAATTAACACTAGAATTTTAGATTTTCCTTAAAAAATCAACAATCTTCCAAAATTTTCAATATTTAAAAAAAAATTGCTAAAAATTGAGTGCGATTTTAATTTTAGCTGATAATTGTAACTTTTTTTTTTTGCATTTTCTTTGAGTTTTTAAATTTTTTTGGAATTTTTTTTAAAAAATAAAAAATTTTGGAATTTTTTTTATTTTTAAAGAAATAATAAAATTTATTTTAATTTTAATTTCAAAAATTAAATTTATAAACTTTTCTTTATTTCTTAATTTTTTTGAATTTTAAAGATCTTTTTAAGTTTTTAGAATTTTTTGTATATTCAATCAGTACCAGATAAAATTAAATGTGTTAGTAACTCTATTGAAAGTGCCAGTAACTCTACTAACATATTTAATTTTATTTGGTACTGATTGAATATAAAAAATTCTCTAAAAACTTTAAAGATCTTTAAAATTTCAAAAAAATGAAAAATATAGAAATTTTTTATAAACTTAATTTTGAAATTAAAATTAACAATAGAATTTTAGATTTTCTTTAAAAAATCAACAATCTTCCAAAATTTTCAATATTAAAAAAAACAATTGCTAAAAATTGAATGCGATTTTAATTTTAGCTGATAATTGTAACTTTTTTTTTTTTGCATTTTATTTGAGTTTTTAATTTTTTTGGTATTTGTTTTTAAAAAATCAAAATTTTGGATTTTTTTTCTATTTTAAAGAAATAATAAAATTTATTTTAATTTTGGTTTCAAAAATTAAATTTATAAAAAATTTTCTTTATTTCTTTATTTTTTTTTTGAATTTTAAAGATCTTTTTAAGTTTTTAGAAATTTTTTTATATTCAATCAGTACCAGATAAAATTAAATGTGTTAGTAACTCTATTGAAAGTGCCAGTAGCTCAGTGATAAAATACATTGCCATTTGACCCAACCAACCTGAGTTTGAAACTAGGAATATACTTGTTCTTATTTTCAAATCATGTAAAACGACGCCGTTTCATCTTATTTGAAAACGACGTCGTTTCACTTAGCGCCAACAATAAACAACGTCAAATTTTTTCTGTTAAATTTGCTGACGGTGTGCTAAATTGGCAAGTCAACAAAAACATTGTTAATTAATTCTAAAGTCAATGAAAGTTTTGTGTTTTATTGGTCAGCCAAAAAGTTCATATCTCTTTTGGCAATTCGTGCAAAGTTGAAGTTTTTTTTGGTCAAATTCTCGAAAAATATATTATGTTACAATATCATTATTTAATGGGTCAGATACTGATTTTTCTCAGGACAAGGGTGGTACAGTACACTAGAAGGTTTTGATGGACTTATGGGAGCGAGGAACACAAGAGCGAGTCAGTCGCCACTCCATTCGAAGATAGAAGCTCTCATTTGGGCTTATGGAATGCATGAGAAATTTAAGAAAGTTTTCAATTATATTTGCAACGGATTGTTCACAGTTGGTGAAGATTGTTTCGACACCCAAAGAATGGCCAGCATTCGCAAGCTATTGAAGAAAAGTTTCAACAACTCAGAGCTCATTCATATACCAAGGACACATTATTTGAAGGCGGATAGTCTAGCACGCAGTGCACGCAAGCAACCGTCGTTTGTCGTCAATCTGAATTCAGAGCTACCGGTTTGGTTTATAGAGTCTGTTTTCTGTTGCCGGCAAAAAAAAAAGATACTGATTTTTAGAATTTCACCATTGGTGGTGCTCTTAAACTACAGTAAAAACTCTATCAATTAAACTTGGGACTATAGTATTCAATTAATCTATAGAGTTATTAGTTTATACAAAGTTTCTTTATTATGTCTCTATTTTTGAAATTTTATTTTATAAAATAAGAAACAGCTGATTTTTTTTTTATAACCCATGGTTTAATCCCTGGGAGCTGGGGGGGGGGGGCATGTGAATACCCCATAGGCCATGTCCTGTGATAATCTGAGTGTAGATGAATTCGAACCCAAGTTCTGTAGGATCCATGGAACGCCATGCCACTACCCAACCACTAACGTGTGGTTAAATAAATAGTTTATTTTACTGTACATACATTAATTAAATTATTAATTTGACTTACAATTGTTTTTATTATATCAATTGATGTATATGAAATGTATTTCATAAAATTTAAATGTGATTTAAACATAATTCTACTACATATTCTCAAATTATATTCAAGTGAAAAGAAAGAAAATAGAAATGAACTCCATGTGAATATAAAAACATACATTACAGGATTCTGGTTGCAATTATATAAACTATATATATATATATATAAATATATATGAATTTTTAATTTATAATTTTAATGGGTCCATATATTTACATAGGGTTTTTTAAAGAAATACTATCTCATTATTTTATTGTCTTATGTCATATTTTGAACCAGCTCAATTTGGAATAAAAAAGAATTATTAATTTATAGTGTTTATTAATTTATCAAGTTTTAATTTATAGAATTTTACTGTATATGCAAGAGATATGTTGATTTTTTTTTAATTTAACAGTTAAATGATCACACTGAAATTATTGAAATATTGTATGTGGATTCACTTCAGTTGAACACTTTTAACTAATTGAAAGTTTAAATATAGGGTTACAAGGGACACATGTCATTAGTTGAGGAAATATATATATATATATATATATATATATATATATATATATATATATATATATATATATATATATATATATATATATATATATATATATATATATATAT